GTTTTACGCACCTATTATAATTGGTATTTCAAAAGTAAATTCCTATTTTTAAAAAGTTGATCTTGGAAATCACCTCATTTTAATCCCGAAAATGTGATATACGTAGAAAATATTTTATTTCATGTTTTAGCACATGAACGATTGTTTAACCGAGCTTAGCAGATTTAATTCACAAAATTTTTTAGTATGCATTATAGATATCTTTTCATTTTTATTTGCTTCAGTTCCTTTGCTACTTTTAAAAATACAACATAGCTTCCTTTTTTATAATTAAACGAATATAATTAACAGGGAAGTTTAGGTCATTAAACTAACAATCCATATAAGTTTTATTATTATTGTAACGATTAAGTTTTGCATATATATAACAAGCTATGGGTAGTAATATATTAAGTTGCATTCTTATAGATTTGCTATTAAATATCCTGAAAATTGCTTCAATCAAAATACTCAGTAAATTAAGTTACTATTAAAGTGTAACAAAATATTAGCTATAAACATTATCCATATTTATATCCATGAACAGAGAACATTACTTTACAACGGCTTCTTGGATGTCAGAAACGGAAGTCTGCATAACATGGTTGACCCGCGCACAAAATCTTTCGGTTGTCACAATTTGCAAGAGCCCATTGTGGCATTGCCAGGTATATTGAAATCATTAAAGTTTACTTTTCATTCTCAAGATGACTTATTCTTTGTAAAATTTTTTTCTCATATTACTTCATACAGGAAATTCAAAAGATAGGGGCTGAAGGTCGTGGCTGGGTAGATACTCCTCCTGAGGCACCTATCTTTTCAGCAAATGGCAGCAGTTACATTGCTATAAGTCCAGTTGAAGTTGGACCAGCTGATTATTACAAACATATTGTTTGGGTGAATGTTGCTCGAAGGTTAGTTATTCCACTTACTCATGGAAAATTTGAAGTCACACAAATAGTGGCATGGGATCAAGCTAATAATACCATGTAAGTAACACATGATCTTATGTATTGAATATTAATTAGCTGTTTGTTTTCCTAACACCAGTTGAGTTCCTTAAGAACAGACAAATTTTACCAAATTTCATATATCTTTTTGTAGAATAATGTATAAAAGTGATTGCAATATGTTTCTATGTATCTAATCTAATTCTTCTACATAGATACTTTATAGGTATTCCACCTATGCGACCAGGACAAAGACACCTTTATTATGTGAGTTCATTGTTGCCAGACGTGGGTTCATCTTTACATCCTCCTGTTTGCATTACTTGTACGGAAACGGCAGATGGATATCGAAATGAACATCGAACAACTTCATCTAGTCATCATAGTCCTTGGTCTGACAATAGTTACATACACGATCATTACGAGACGCGAACAGATAGCGCACAAAGCACAGACCAAGGACAATCGAAGGAAAATGTTACAAAGAAGCAGAAATCAAAAGTGTACAATCCACCGAGTATGTATAAAAATACGTATGTTTGTTAAAAGGGGATTAATATCTGATTTTCATCATTCCTTTTATTTTTAGAATTCACCGATCAACCTTGTCAGTACCACAATGCCATTTTTCCGACAATCGGCACTGATTATTTTATCTTAGAATGTTATGGACCTAGTATACCCACTGTTACTCTATATAAAACTAAATTTCCCATGCCACGTCTTATTTACGTCTTACAGAATAATACATTATTACGCGTAAGTTATAATATTTTTATAACTTTTTACATTTCAATTGTTACTACTATTATAGAGTATAAAACATTAAAAAATATATTAAAATCGACGATTTGTTTTAGGAACGAGTTGCCAAACTTGCTCTTCCACAAGTAAAAACATTTCCTGTTCAAATAAGCGGTGGATATAATGCACAAGTAAAATTGCATTTACCACCTGGATTAAGAGAAGATGAAATCACACGATATCCGTTAATAGTACAAGTGTAAGTATAGTACCTTTATCATAAACATTAAAATTGCATTAGGAAGAAATGTTGCCTAAAAATTATTTTAAATGTTCACTCATTTATTCTAAGCATGCATTTCCATTTTTAGGTATGGTGCACCAGGTTCACAGTTAGTAACAGATATGTTCAAGATTGACTGGAATACTTACTTAGCTAGCAGGAAAAATATGATTGTTGCACAGATTGATGGCAGAGGCAGTGGAGGCCAGGGCTACAAGTTTCTTCATGAAGTTTACTACAGACTTGGCTCTGTAGAAGTTGCTGATCAGCTTGAAGTTACAGAGTAAGTGTACTTGCTTTCTAATAAAAGAAAGCAAAATAAACAAAGTTAATATTAATGTTTCAAATATTACTACATTGTCAATTTGTATAGTTTTCCATCATAGTACATTGCATCTTTTCAATTATTTGAGTTTTAAAGATATGTTTATTTATAATAAGTATAAACTAAATATAAACTTCATAGGTATCTACGGGATTCGTTGCATTTCGTGGATAAGCAACATGTTGCCGTTTGGGGTTGGAGTTATGGGGGTTTTGTAGCTGCTCTTGCGCTGGCGCATCCTAAACAAGATATTTTTCAATGTGGTATAAGTGTAGCACCTGTTGTATCGTGGAAACTGTATGGTAAGTACATATAATATCATTCTATTTGAACTTTCATTGCTTTATCAAGTCAATATGAAATTATATTAACTAAGTAAAAGTTTCATTGTTATATTAGATTCAGCGTATGCTGAAAGATACATGGGTTTACCAGATGTTGTATCGAATTACAAAGGTTATGCTGAATCAGATGTGTATGATAAGGTGGAACATTTGCGAAATAAAATGTTTTACTTGGTGCATGGCACTGCAGATGATAACGTCCAATTTCAACAGTCCATGGCTCTTGCGCGCCATCTTGCGAAAGAAGGCATACTTTTCCGACAACAGGTAACACTAAAACAGACAATTAAAGTCTCGTTAAAGTTAGGAAGAAGGTGTTGTTAATTATGTAACTTACACCAACCACAGATCAAAGAAGAAAATACAAGTTTTAGATATTATTCTATTTTTTCTACTTTACATTATTCTAGCTTTTATGGTAGTTACTGTTCATTTTTAGGTATATCCAGATGTGAGTCATTCATTAGCAGGGGTCAAAGGTCATCTCTACTTATCAATGGCTCAATTTTTGGATGATTGTTTCCAGAAACAAGTACCTACTGATGAAAAACCTGGTCTCATCAGTGGTGGATTTAGCCTGTAGTTGTAAATAATGTGATCTAAAAACGATCTAATATTTGTGAAGGAATTCCATACACAAGAATTACACTTAAATATCTCCAAATTGTGTTCCGTTTATTGATACCTTTAGGAGAAAAATATTTTCGCATTATTTTGTATATTGACTAAATGTTACAAGACAATGGTATAACTAGTTAAATTATGTTTGTTGTATTATAAATCAGAAATCAAATCTAAATGAATGAAAGTGGCAAATTTTAACAGTATTATATAAAGGTTACTACATTCAATTAAAACGTAGCTTCTTCTGTATAGATACATGTGTATGTTATGTAAATGAAAATGAAAATTTTAAATACTATATTAAACAATTTTATTACAATTATTTAGTTTTATTCTGTAAGTATTTATTCAAAGAGATTTCCTGAGTTTCATAACTTATTTACATTAAGTTAGCAATGTGCAACAAGATTTAATTCAGTTTTTTAAATAATTATATTTGTCTTCTTCATACAAAATATTCAATTTAACTGTTTAATTCATTCGTATACTTTTGAATGAAAAAATAATAAAAAATGAGCCAAAGGTGAGTGAGAAGAAAACAGACATATACATTATTTAGTCACTAAACTTAGACAAGAATTGTGAATACCTATGTAACAACTTTTATTCGTTTAGATGCTGATTTTTCTTGTATTGTAAAGAAGACAAAAAACAAAATTGAAAAGAAAGAAAATTATTTTAAACATCACATGGTTTATTGAAGAAGTACATAAATCACTTACTATAATTGAACAAACAAATATTGGAATGAGGTAAAAGGACAATTACTTCTCTCCATCGAGTTAAACGATATAAAATTGATACAAACAATGAAAAATTTCACGATACTCTCGAGCACTCGATGCAAGGGTAACTCCTTTCTTCTTTCATTTAGATTCTCGTAAATTAATTACACATACGTAAAAGAAACGTAAAAAACAACACGTCTAAGGTTATTCCTCAATAAATCTTTCTGCTATCTCTGCGTCATAAGCAATTAATATCTCACGTGAAATTCGCATAATAACTTTTATACGGATTTATCGTACTGATTCATTCGTGACGAGCGAAACACTTTGTAAACAGTATTAATTAAGCGCGACAAATAATAATGAAATTTTTAACAAAACTAAACTGTGTATACCGATAATGTATGTATATTAGTTTATCTGAATGTAATGGGAACTGGGAAAAAGAAGAAAAGTGAATAACAACGTCGATGGTGTAACGCGTGTGAAATATTGCGCTGGTTTCTTTAAATAGCAATATAAATAAGAGAGATATTTGGAGGAATAATTTTAGTTTCCATCACGTATACCAATGAAGTATTAGCTTTCTCGATAGATTTTCTAAGATATCGAGGGGATGTGTTATCTGTTGGTCAATAGTCAGAAATAGACTTGACGATCTTCTTGTTGGAACATCTACCAAGGTGTAGTAGCATGTGGTTTTTAAGATTGGTCGGTTTACTGAAACCACGGCTACAAATATGGCACCTAAATGGCCATAATCCATTATGCACGTACATATGACTCTTAAGATCTCCCGGTGTTGGGAATGACTTGGAACATTGCGAACATTTGTGCGGTTTTTCCTGAAACAATTGTAAGATCACCTTTCACTGCAAGAGACATTCAACAGACTGTGTTGGATACAAACGAATTGTAAGAAATTGATACTCTGAGAGACAATGTAATTTCAATTGGCGACAAATTTCACTCGATTTTCAACAAGTGAAGTAAAAAAAAAAAAAACCGTCATCTTTATAGTATACCAAAA